AAAAAATATCTGTTATTGTACAATATAAGTTTCAGAAATGTCATATGGTATCTTAAAGAAACTCACTAAAGTAAGCTCACCGGATTTTCTGGATGCCAAGTACGGACACAAAGGCTTACAGCAACCGGAACCATAACAGTGCAGGGGAGAGGCGGAGGGGTGTAATGGTGTTGTGCTTGACATTTTTGGACACCCCTTCCCCCCCCCCAAAAAAAAAAAGAATAAATACATTTGTTGTAAGTACAAGAAGCTTTTAGCCCCCATCCTCATAAAAACTCCACCAGTCACAGCTAGCGAGAAACTATTCTTTAGATAGGATCATAATAGTGAATTAAAATATCAAATCCCATATACTTCAGAAAGACGACCCCGGGGGGGGGGGGGGGGGGGCACCAAAAGCCTTATTTTCACTGATTCGCCCCGGGGGGCACTTTTCCTATATATCAAGGGACACCATTTCCGGCTTCGCTCCAGGTGCAGCCTTTTCTCCGCAGCAAACAAACACAAGTAAAAACAGAACAAAAATAAAACTAGCGCTTAACTGAAAAGTAGTATCCAAGAGCGGGGTAAAAGAATGGTGAAAACCTAAATTTGGCATAAGCGCCGGAAATTGAACCATTATAGGAACCACTGAGCTAGCACATTGAAGATACGGTGGACAAATTATAACTGTAATGCTGCTACTACTGAGCATTACTGAAGCGATATCTGGCTTAGTTCATTTGTGAAAAGAATTGGCGACAATGTGACGATAATTCCAACACAACTTTGCGTGATATTTTTACAGCACTAGAGATATAAATTATGCTATTCTTGGACTGTCCGATGGATCTGAAACAATTCACTGCGCTTGCCTTCGCGAAGAAATAAGATAAGACAAATGGAAATCAGTCAATATGCAAAGCAAGTCACCGCTGCCAAAAGTACGGACAAGCCGGACGGCGAGAGAAAGGTACGGACAAATACGGACGCAAAAATTAGTACGGACAAGGGGGTCGAAAATACAAACTGTCGGTACTAAATACGCACGTCTTGTAACCCTAAATAAAGGATTGAACATTGAACAATTTTTTTTTTGTCCGAACCTGGGAGCGAATCTCCTAGTGTGACGTGGTCAATTAATATAAGCAAACACTGAAAAAAAATAATGCCATGTCATTTCTACATACATTTGTTCCACATAAACCACCTGATATTCCCAATCTGAATGTATGCCCCCCCCCCCAGCCATGATGAAAATGTTACATTTAGTACGTCGTCCAAGACATGAGCCGAAGCTCCTCGAGGTATNATACTTTTTCCGGGGAACCCCAATCTCGCAGGTCCCTTTCTCCTTTATAGTGCCAGCCATACACGTTACATGATTATTAATCAAATACCGATAATCTGATTAACCGCGATTCACTAACATAGAGGGGCTTAACGATGATCCAACAATCTATTTGAAAATCTGACTGAATTACATTTAGCATCGCTTGTCAACTCACGCTTTCTATGATAAATCAATAGCTTGTCTAGACTCACGTAATGCTGAGATAACTAAAAACGTACAAGGGTTTTTTTTAAATATTATGATAAGTATGTAAAATAGGTATGCCTCGTCATTTGATGATTATGTTTAGATACAACTTTTCACAACAATGAATATGTACATACAAGGCCTTCAAAATCGTACACTTAACCCCTTGAGACTGTTAAAAAAAATGAATCACCGTGTTGTGTTCATGTCTCGGTATCGGCATGGTACCGGCATCAGATAAGGGAGACAATAATCTTTCACACAAGCCCAGATTTAAACACTGACCCCCCGCAGGTAGTAGTTTCCTACAAACTTTATTTTAAAGATCAAATTCAGCTGACTGTTATTTGATCGCAGCCGAATCTCTTCACGTACACCAATAATTACATCAGCACTAAGCTGCTAACGTTCAAGTTATCTCAACTCTCAGGATTGGTTGAGTCCAGCAGGAGGAGAGGTTAAAAGCCATTTGCAATGACGCAAAGAGGTAATGGCGGTGATTTACAGAAAATTTAAAGACAACTATTCAAAATTGAAGTTTTATGTTGCTGTGACTGGTGCTGTGAATGCTGGGACTCTTGCAGTGGTTATGTTTCTTTCCATACATCTAATCTACGGAGGGCGGTAGCGCTAATCATACCGCCGTTATTTTAGTCAACAATTGATATGTCTCATCTATCTGAGCTGCAAAAAAAAATGTGGGACTATTTTCTGGGCCAAAGTTTTAAAAATATTGTTTTTTAAAAAAAATGTATAACCTTTCCCCAATTCACACATTATTACAACGGAACGAACCCTTCTAGAAAGAAATACAATTATTATAGGGATAAAGGATAACGGATTGTGTGGTGGAGGGTAAAATATGTTGTTGACAAATCTTGTTGGCATCCGTCCGTCAAAATGTGACGCTGGTGTAGAATTTGAAGGACGACATTCACAAGGCCTGGCAATGTGTAGCAAACCTCCTCTCCTACGCCGCTGGGTAACCCGAGGGAATATCGTGTGGATGACACAGCTTGGCACCAGTGGCGTCGCTGGAACTGTCGGAATGTTTCATTGTGTAAAATGTTATCTGCCGACGGGATTTGAATGAAAGACTTTCCTTCTCAGATGGGTTGCCATCCCTGGTTAAATGGTCCCAAGGAAATGGCTCAACTTCTGGCGAAAACATGTGTTATATTTCCTTCATTTTCCCTATAAATTTTTTTTTTTTTTTTTTTTTTTTTGCATACCCAAATACTTCAAAAAAAATAAAACGCATAGCAACAGCTGCACAATTAATCTTCATGCCAAAACAAGTTAAATGGTCCCAAGGAAATGGCTCAACTTCTGGCGAAAACATGTGTTATATTTCCTTCATTTTCCCTATAAATTTTTTTTTTTTTTTTTTTTTACTGCATACCCAAATACGTCAAAAAACATAAAGCGCATAGCAACAGCTGCACAATTAATCTTCATGCCAAAACACGCACCCATTGAACAAATCATATTTTATTCATCTTCCCCTTGAACAACGGGGAAAAACTGAATTTTGGGGGACGGGGCTAAAAAATTGGATAGAATATGTTGTCATCAGTAACGAGTCTATGTGCCAAGGTTTAATTCCATAGTATGAATAGAAAAGGGGGTCACTTAGCCGTCCGAAGACTTTACCTTAAACGCAGAAAGACACGAACAAGAGCAAAGTTAATAGAAAAGCTTAAAAATAAAAGTCAATTACCAAATATGCCTTGTTGAATTGTACTAAAAAAAAACCAGACAATTTTGAAATGAATTGCAACTGAGCATGATTTAAAATCACTTGTAATAAAAACTTAAAGTTAAACATTAAACATTTATTAAAATAATCTCTTTTCTTCTGTGCCCCCCCAAAACCACCGCTGCTTTGATGCATTCATGCAACTTGATTTAACTAGGAATCCATGACGATCGCATTAACCAAAAATATTTCATGATATCCACACATTTTGCTAAATACGTATTTGATTATATTTTCGCACATAAGCTTTCACACGTTTCAGAAAATAAAAATAAAGTATGTCCGCAAAGGAGTATGTTGTAAAGCAATTCAACATATGGACTAAAACTTTCACCTAATTTTATCAACGGAGGCATGTGTATTATTTAAAAGTCAGCCCGTAATATAATTTGCATTTTTTTCTTTTTTTTTTCTTTTTTTTTTGTTATTAGTTTATGATTGCAAACTATGAAAAAATTATTGAAAGCTATTAAATGAAATCTGTATTCTAAAAGTATCGATTAATAAATTAACAAGACGTTCGTAATTAGAGACACGATTATTACGATAATAGTTCCAATTAAACATACATATGCAACCCAATGTACACAGCTGACTGTCTTGGGACAAAGGCAGTGTAAGATTATTGATTTTTTTTTTCTGGCTTGAGTTGGTTGTTGACCCCCCCCCACCCCACCCCCCCACCATTTTTTTTCTACAGTTCCAAAGGTCACAGTTAATGAACTTAAATATTTGAACAAACCGTCCTTTCAGGACCACANCGCAAACAAACATGGCGGACTTATTAAAGGTGGCTGTGATATTTTAAACATTATTTTTAATTACATTCTCCAGGCAAAAGATAAATAATTAATCGGCGTGTGTATGTGTGTACGTGTATGTGTATGTGTGGGTGCATGCAATTATCTGAGTGAGTGAATGAATTTGCGTCATGAAAAAAAGACACTGATTTCAAACAAAGTGATTATCTTTTTTTTTTTTTGTGCGCAATGTAGGTTCCAACAGTCCTGTCAAAATGAAGACCAATCAATCGAATGATCGAAGAGTGACGTCATAAATTGTTAACGTATGCGTTTCCCTCTTGCCATTGAACATAATGTGCGTGTAGATGTGAGTGCGCGAGTGTGTGTCAAGTTTCGAGGGTTAAAATTCCCCACGCTGTCTTGTTAAGAAGACTACATCTGGGAATAGCGCTGACCAGCTGAGGGTGAATAGATGTTTAACTGGCGATTCGCATATCTCTTCAAAATACTCAAGCTTCACTCTTTGTGCGCGGAACAGTGAATTGATTTTATTAAAGCCTGAAATTTTTTTAAAGGATCTCATGTCAACCTCAACATTTTCACTTTTAGGGTGGAGAGAAAAAGCAAACTATGTGAGAACCACTGGTTCTGCTAATAACCTAGCTTTACTGAAAAAAACACCAAGATGTTGAGAAAAGTTAATTTGAAGTCTTGAAATTAAACATTGGTACTAGACTTCGATCAAATTTTCAGAAATATTTGTTCAATTTTATTTCGTCAGCATATAAACATTATAGGAAAGCGTGAAAGGACAATAAAAGAAGACATTTTAATAGAAATGAATTTAACTAAAGAAGATTGCCTGCTACAGAGCTGCGACGTCTTTGTCCCTGGAGAGTTCCATCCCTTGGACATCGTCGCAAACGACCAACAGCGACGCGTTTCGGAGATAGCACTAGACTACGTCGTCAACTTCAGCGTCTGCTTCGTCGGCATCTTCAGCAACATCCTCGTCATCGTCGTGTTCGCCAGGCAAGGGTTCAAGGACAGCACCAGCATCTCCATGACAACGGTCACGATCTGGGACCTCATCAAGTGCCTGGGCGGCTTCGTCCAGCGCCTGGCAGGACCACTGGTCCTCGCGTCCCCTGCCCTGGCCTACAGCTGGACCAACGTGTCCCTCGTCGTCTGCAACTACCTGGTCTCGTTCTCCTGCTACGTCACGAGCGTGCTGGCGGCTTACGTGGCCGTCGAGCGATGTCTGTGCGTGACGGTACCGCTCAAGGTCAAATGGCTCCTCACCCCGAAAATCGCGCTGATCATCTGCGTCACGATTTCCGTCGTCGTCTTCGGGTGCTTCGTCGTCATCTTCGGCATCTACGACGTTTTCTGGGTCTACGATCCCAAGTACGGCACCGACGTGGCCGTGTATAAATACAATGCGTTCTCCGCCAACAACACGGCTCTGTTCGGCTACTACAACATGTCCGGTGTTCTCTGGCCGCTGGTCAGTCTGGTGGTCATCGTCCTTTCGACTTTTATCATCTCCTACAAGCTGCAGAAATCCTCAGAGTTTCGAAACCGGGCGAAATCTGTAAAAGTAATCAGCGGAGACTCAAAATTTTCCAGTTCCGATACCGTGGAGTCGGGTTCTACGAAACACGGCAAGCAGGCGGCCATCTCTAGACGAGACCGGCAAGTCATCAAGATGCTGCTCGTGGTCATAATCATCTACATCGTGAACCTGTTTCCCCGCGTCGCCCACTACCTGGGCAAGTACATCGTTTTCGAATACTATTATCTGCGCCGATACCACAACCTCTTCGCGATAATGGCGTATGCGGTTTTCGTGTTCGATTACGTCAACGGGTCTGTCAATCTGTTCGTGTTTTACGCTATGAGCTCGTCGTTCAGAGAAACAACAAAAGCACTTTTCCGTCGCCGCGATGCCAGATAAGATGCCAGTTGAGATTTCAGATAAGATGCCAATTAAGATGCCGGACAAGATGTCAGATAAAATGCCAGATCAAGATGTCAGAAAAGATGCCAGATAAAAAAGCCAGATAAGATGCCGGATAAGATGTTGGGTTAGATGTCAGATGAAATGTCAGATAAGCTGCCAGATAAAATGCAAAATAAAATGCCGAATAATATGTCCCGCCATCGAATGCCTTCATCCACTTGATGTTACTGGATATGGCAGCGAACTTTTCCCAACCGCTTGTAGGGCCTTAGAACTTTTTTGCCACGTTGTGTATTATTGTATATTGGTGTCTTCTACACACAACGGTTCGCTTTGTGTGTGATTGATGTGATTTACTACCCTTTAAGTTGGAGCTTTTGGTGTGTTGGACAGATATGCAATTAAACTGACACGAGAACCTTGTGTGTATTAAGCCCCCCCAAAAAGACCTTTGTTATCGCTGCCCAGAGGTTCAAATGTCTTCCAGTAGTAAACTGAAGTGAGTGGATGAAAACATTTTGATAATTTAAGATGATGAGTTTCAAAGTGACCACAACTGACCCCCCCCCCCCCCCCCCCAATCTAGAGAATCAGCTGCACAAAGCTATTAGGTAGAGAAAAAAAATGTCACCTACTTTGTTATCGCTGCCCAGAGGTTCAAATGTCTTCCAGTAGTAAACTGAAGTGAGTGGATGAAAACATTTTGATAATTTAAGATGATGAGTTTCAAAGTGACCACAACTGACCCCCCACCCCCCCCCCCAATCTAGAGAATCAGCTGCACAAAGCTATTAGGTAGAGAAAAAAAATGTCACCTTATTAGGTAATGGTGCTAAGCATTTTATCAACCAAGATATTTGATACAATAAATCCCTCTCCTCTGTACGACTCCTCTTACGCCTTTATCCCCGCTGCCACTTTTGTGTGTGTACATTTTTACGAACAGTGGTTCTCATACCTGAAGTCTGAGCAACAAAAAAAAAAGGGAAGTAAACTAACAATTAAGATTATTTAATGAACAGACTCAACTAAAAAGGGAGTGGGGGGACACACGGGCCAGGCGCCGGGTCTCTCCGCCACCAGATCATGCGGAAGCACGTCGGGAAGCTTGCCCCCCCCCCCTACCGGCCTGGGGGACGTGCGGTCGACTGAAAACGATGCGCTTAAAGCGTTCGCGGTCCACTCTCCGTGGGTCAGAACGGCTTTGCTTCCACTCCGGGGAAAGGTTTTGCGTTACCACCTACCCCCCCCCCCACCGTCCAGGACGTCTTTCGGTCGGGCCGAAATACAGGTATACAGCCCTCCGCGTTACATCTAAAGTCCGCCCAATGACCGAATTATAAATTTGGAACGGCTTTGCTTCCACTCCGGGGAAAGGTTTTGCGTTACCACCTACCCCCCCCCCCACCGTCCAGGACGTCTTTCGGTCGGGACGAAATACAGGTATACAGCCCTCCGCGTTACATCTAAAGTCCGCCCAATGACCGAATTATAAATTTGGAGAAGAGACACCGGCGTGAACGAAGTCCCTCCAAGATATGACAGATGGGATAGATATTTTGTCAGTCATCTGTCAGTGAGTCACTTCCTTTATCTGCCGGTGGCCTCTCGCCGGCAGTCATGTGGGGTGGGAAGGGGGGCGGTGGCTACAAAGTGTAACAAAGACGCTCACTATCGGCTGTTTTATCTGTTAAGTGGACCAACAGCACGATGAAAACCCAGTGCTCCTTGTAGCATTGGGATAAGGTATTTAACCACACGTGTAGCGTATATATTATCCCACGGATAAGGTATTTATGACATGGATAGCTTATACATTAATCACATGATTAAAGTATTTTATGACATGGATAGCTGATTTATTATCACATGGATAAGGTATTTTACCACACGTGTAGCGTATATATTATGGCATGGATAAGGTATTTTATGACATGGATAGCTTATATATTATCACATGGATAGATTATTCTGCATGTGTAGCGTAGACTTTATGACGTGTGCACCTTAAATTATATGTTTGTCGAGTGAATTGTATGAAGGTGATATCGAGTTCCCATGTGATTCGTTTATGTTACATTTTATGTCGACCGCTTAAAAACCTACGATCACTTATAAGTGGATAAAGAATGTTTAGGAGGACAACACACACGAAGAAGCGGCATTTTCATGACAAACCTCAGCCCCCCCCCCCCCGGGCCACCCCGTCCCCGAAGTTCCCTAAATCCCACCGCCAAGAAATAACAAAGGTGTCACATTATGTAGTTTACATATTACTTATTTTTATGATGAATCGGCATTTCTTATTTCGCGTACTTGTAGAGTGGTAACTTCGAATCTCTTGCCTATACAAGGCTATTGGCAGCGTTCATATTTTAGTGCATGTTCCAAACACAGTGCATAACTTCTTGATTAGTTTTTACTGCATATGACAAAGAATGACAAAACAAAAATTATATATTTAAGTATAAGACTAGTGTGATAAACAAGGGGAACCCGTTTTTATGATTTGATGAACATTTAATATAGCACTGAAATTTAAAAGAACACACAAAAATCGTCACTGAAAAGTAGATTTCAGAAAAAAAGTATCCCCCCCCCCTACATTCATGCCAGAGACACACGCCTCTGTTTCGTTTGTTTCAGGTGTTTCCCATAATAATAATAATAATAAAGTTTATTTGAAAAAACACGCTTCATTCCCAAAAGCTCGAAGCGCGGTACAAAGTCAACCATATTAAAAAGAGAAATAAAAACAATCTAAAATTTACCACATTTAAAAACAGACGCAACACTAAAAAACTACATACGAGCATACCCAGTCAAAGTCTTTCATCCCGTTTCAACCATGAGCAACACAAGACAATATATATTAACTGAAAAAAGATGGTAGATAGCATAACACCAGAAGGTGTTTGCGAAATAGATGTGTTTTTAAATCGGTTTTAAAGGACTCCAGTGTCTGGCTGTTTCTGACAGCGACTGGAAGGGCGTTCCAAATTTTTCCCCATGACGTGTAATTGAGATCTGCTTTTAACTGACTCATTCAAAGAGTGAAATATTTACCTAATTGTGTGTGAGGTGCTAAAAATTGAATCGGAAACTAAAACCAATACCGGACAGTGAATAAGAGAAGAAACCGACGGTGGGGGGGGGGTGTTAATGTGGGGGTTGGGGGGGGGGGGCACGCGCACTCATTGTAAAATTGGGGACAAGTCTCTAATGTACAACGAAGATATTGAAGTACGGGTGTGCAACTGCAGAAAACAGCTTGATAACATCCTGTGGATGTTTTACCGTTGATGATAATAAACTGGTATTTGTATGCCAAGTTATAAAACCAATATATTTTACTATGAAGACAAAAATGGAATCTTGAGTTGTTGTCCATACAGACATAAGAGATGTTTAAAGTTTTTTTTTTAATTTCTTGGAAAGCATGGGGGATGAGAGGGCGGTTTTTTGAAAACAGAAAGCAGCGATACGAATAAGACAAACAGAAGAGGTGACTGATAGGGAATTATTTATAAGGGTGATAGAGTTGGATTACGGTTATATTCGTGGAAGGAGACTCGTAAACACGTTCTAAGAACACGTACAGTGGGGAGAAATTAGATCAGCTGTTACCAACCTGTGGGTCGTGAACTATTGGGGAGGGGGGAGAGGCTTTGATGAACCTTTACACAGGGGTCGCCTAAAGCCACCTGAAAACACACATTTATAAAGCAGCAAGGAAATTAATCCTACAACACGAGGAACGGTATTAAAGGCTCGCAGAACTAGGACAGTTGAGAACCACTGTAATAGAGTAAGAAACACTGGGGAGGATTTTATCATTGAACACGAGAAAGATGGATTAGTATTAGAAGACTGCACAAACAGGAGTGTTTAGTTAGGTTGTTATTCATTCAGCCAGAGACGCTTCCATTCGATTAATTCCTTTGAGTGAGGCATTCATGTTGACCTTGATGAACTCCTGCTTTTCTCAACAATGTTTGGGTTTAACAAAAAAAAAGTCAATCCAGATTCTGAATCGGCAAATCTAGGATACGCCAAAGTTTGATGGATCAAAATGTGTGTGTGCGTGTGTGCACAACTGGGTACCACATTTCAGCAGATGACACCCAGTTTTAACGGACAACCACTAAATTCTGTCCCGGTCGTATAGGTGTATAGAAGGCGCTGCACTTGAATATCTTCAAAAACTGATTTCTGAACGTGTATCCGTACAGAACGTGCGCTGTTCCACTCCAGTTCTTACTGGGAGTTCCCAGTGTGGATGGACACAGAAAGAAGTCAAACAAAGTGCGAACGTATGAAGTTATCGCGCTTAAATTATAGGAACACTTCTTTTTTAAAATCGGCCGGGTCAAAGGTGGGTTGGAAAAAGCAGAAGAAAAGAAGGAGATTTCCAAAACGGATTTAACTGTGAGCCGCAACCTGTTACCGCGTCAGGAAATTGACAAGAATGACAACGAAATAACACAACGGCATTTACGCCCATGTGTAGAAATGATAATTTTGTTTACCCTCCACCCCCCCAGTCCCTTCAGATCAACTACCACAAAGCTTGCCTGCGTGGTAACAACACATCGTACATAAGCCCTGCACACAGGCACACAGCACGCCACTTATTCACTCAGCAGCAGAATACAATAACCACACTACGGGATATCGATACTCCGTTACACTTAAAAGCACGATGCGAACGGTAATCGACTCCTGTAACCCATCCCGCAGTTGCTATTGTTTACTGTGGTTAACATTAAAATGGTAAATGGCTTTAAAAAGAATATTGGTTACTGTGGTTAAAATTAAAAAAGTAAAAGGCTTTAAAAAAAAACTTTCATTTAAAAAAAAAAAAAAAAAAAAATTAAAATTAAAAATCCAAGGGTTTGTGAAGCACTGGCGATTCCGTGGAAGAGCTCCGACTGCGATGTGATGACTTGAAGTCCAACCAGTGACTCACACCTCACCAGACACGAGACGTTATCGGCAGGTCAAAAACACCTTAGTCCGTATCTGCTTTTCAAGGTCCAACTGTTCCAGGTATATAAGGCCGTGACAGGCAATGACAGCCCACCTTCTATCGGGGCCTTACTGACTTTCAGGTAAGTTTCGTTGTTTTTTGTTTTTTTAAGCGTCCTCCTGTGCCTTGCGTCATCGCCGGTGAAAAAAAAAGTTAATGTCGGTTTCAGTTGGCCTCTAGGAAAGCATAAGAACACAGTTCTTGCGTCATAATTAATAAGACAAAAAAAAAAAAAAAAAACATACTATTATTATTTATCTTTTTATTTTTNCTTTAAATCAAATGCTTTATTTCCGTGTCCGAGTATTCTAGTGATTGAAAAGTAATTTATTTATTTTATTTTATTTATTTATTTATTTTTTTTGGGGTGGGGTGGGGGGGGGGGCGCCTTTTGTTTATTTCTTTATTGTTGCGACTTATTTGGTTGATGTTATATTTTGTTGTTGTTCTTTTTTTTTTTGGGGCGGGGGTATTGGTTGTTGATGGTACTGTGAAGTAATCACGGCTTCCTTACACCTGTTACTTGATATTTTCATTAGTAATAACTACATTAGTACCGCCCTTATTTAACACAGAAATCCTCAGCATGGATATTTGTCATAACTACATTAGTACCACCCTTATTTAACACAGTCATCCCCAGCATGGACATTTGTCATAACTACATTAGTACCACCCTTATTTAACACAGTCATCCCCAGCATGGATATTTGTCATAACTACATTAGTACCACCTTTATTTAACACAGTCATTCCCAGCATGGACATTTGTAATAACTACATTAGTACCATCCTTATTTAACACAGTCATTCCAAGCATGGACATTTGTCATAACTACATTAGTACCACCTTTATTTAACACATTCATTCACAGCATGGACATTTGTAATAACTACATTCGTACCACCCTTATTTAACACAGTCATCCCCAGCATGGACATTTGTCATAACTACATTAGTACCACCTTTATTTAACACATTCATTCACAGCATGGACATTTGTAATAACTACATTAGTACCACCCTTATTTAACACAGTCATTTCCAGCATGGACATTTGTCATAACTACATTAGTACCACCCTTATTTACCACAGTCATTTCCAGCATGGACATTTGTCATAACTACATTAGTATCACCCTTATTTAACACAGACATCCCCAGTATGGACATGTGTCATAACTGCAAGAGTGCCTCCTTCACTTAAAACAGACAATGTTTTACTAAATTGTATCTCAGTGTTATAGATAACTTTAAGATAATCCCAAAAATACATGTCAAGCTGCTTAGAATTAGAATAAATTGTCTATTTTTAAAGCACTGTCTACTGATTGCATAATGTAAGACAAGGGCCAAAGATGTCTGAAGTTAACACAATGGCCGAAAATGTCTAAGTTAACTTATACAGCCTAATTCAAAAGTTTAACAGGCTATCGTTAATTTTCACTTCATTCGTCATGAAACCATTCTCCCTTCTGTCTTTCCCCAGATTTTTTTGTCTTTTCCTCTCAACCGTCACTCTCAAAATCAAAATGGACTCCGGATTCTTCGGCACATGGGAAGTCGACAACTCAAAGACAACTGGTTTGGAGGAGTTTGGCAAGGTCATGGGTGAGTCATCCACTTCATAATCATCTCCCACTTCATAATCATCTTCCACTTAAAAATTATCTCCCACATCATAATCATCTTCTACTTCATAATCATCTTACATTTCATAATTATCTCCCACTTTATAATCATCTTCCCCTTAACAATTATCTCCCACAGCATAATCATCTCCTACTTCATAATCATCTCACATTTCATATTTATCTCCCACTTCATAATCATCTAACATTTCATAAGTATCTCCCACTTCATAATCATCTCACATTTCATAATTATCTCCCAATTCATAATCATCTCCCACTTCATAATCATCTCACATTTCATAATCATCTCCCACTTCATAATCATCTCCCTTGCACTCTAAAACACAGGGATTTAAAAAAGTCACATGTCAAAACTAGGCACTAATGACTGTGTCAGCGACAGTTCACACCATCAAATACCTTTCAAATTAGCCTCAAATTTGGCGTCGCATTTTTGCATGAGCGCACTATTTTATGCGTGGGTTTTTTGGGGGACAAAAATGAGAATTTGATCAAATCAATGTTATGACAAGGCTTCATAGAAAAATGTATGAATGAAAATTTGACGCGAAATTGATCGTGTGCACTGAGCCAAATGGTAAAAAAAAAAAAAAAAAAAAAAAAAAGGTGGAAGGGGAAAAAAAATGGGGGTAGGCGTAATGTATGTTTGTTTTCAAGTGTTCGTTTGTGGAGGGGCATGGCTATGGGCATGGCTATGGGCATGGTTATGGGCATGGTTATGGGCATGGCTATGGGCATGGTTATGGGCATGGTTATGGGCATGGAAATGGGCATGGTTATGGGGGAATAACCTTAATTTCGCACTGTTAACTTTGACTTGTGCGCCTGGCGTAAACATTGGTCATGATTGAAATGTGGATCTTATTAAATTGAGATATAGGTCTGGGCGGTTAGTTCAGTTCGGTTAACTACCAAAATAAAATCAGAACTAAAGTACTTCAAATAAAATGACTGAAAGGTAATGGTTTTTCATATTGAAGACTACAGGAAATGCATTAGTTTCGTCTGTTTCTGATTAAAATAATTGTGGCGCCTTTATAAGCATGTCACACTTCTTAAAGATGTCATTGACTGTGGCATGCCTGGCTTGTGGCAGTAAAAACGGTGTCTTGTATAGCTTTGGTTGTGACAGCAAGATTCATGACTGCTGGCTTAGGTAGTGACAGCAAGAACCAAGGCTATTGGATTGGCTAGTGACAGCCCTAACCAAGGCCACTGAGGTGGCTAGTAGCAAATACCAAGGCTATTGGATCGGCTAGTGACAGCAAGAACCAAGTCTACGGAATTGGCTAGGGATAGCACTAACCAAGGCTAATGCATGGCTAGTAACAACCCTAATTAAGGCTATTTCCTTGGCTAGTGACAGCAAGAGCAACGGTTATTGGCTAGCTAGTGACAGCACTAACCACAGCTTTTGGGTTGGCTAGTGGCAGCAAGAAAAACGGCTATTCTCTTGGCTAGTGACAGCAAGAACAACGGTTATTCGCCCGGCTGATGACAGCAGTAGCCCTGCAGCCAAACACGATCTAGTCCATCTGGCTAAGCCCCTTGTACACATGCCCATGGGGTAACAGCAGGCGCATTTCCCACATTCCTGACTGGTGGCCCCATGTTTCACGACCGCACTTCTAGTACTTAACAGCATGAGCCACTTCCTTGTTGTCTTCCTGTGTAGGTTGACAGCACGAAGACATCAATTACGGCTTGGGATGTAATAATAATAATACTTAAGTAATAACAAATGGATTCAGAACTTTTCAAAAATAGCATTAAAAAAATATGTACATTAATTTGAACAAAAAGGGGTGTGTGTTTAAATTGGCCGGGGGGGGGGGGGGGGGGGGAAAAAAATTTAACAGGACAGTCTCTAATTTAGAATTAAGGAAATAAATGTATTCTGTGGTTAAGGGGAATTTCTGTTTGAATTATGGAAACACAACATAATTTTCAAAAATAGCATTAAAAAAATATGTACATTAATTTGAACAAAAAGGGGTGTGTGTTTAAATTGGCCGGGGGGGGGGGGGGGGGAGTAAAAAAATTTAACATGACAGTCTCTAATTTTGAATTAAGGAAATACATGTATTCTGTGGTTAAGGGGAATTTCTTGTTGGATTATGGAAACACAACATAAATAGGGTCAGTTTTACAATTGATTGAGACCGCGTCACGGTTCACTTTAAAAATCTACATACTACTTACGTCATATGTATCTGGATATATTTATGAGTGTGTGTTTAGTTTAAGAATTGTATTTGAAGATTGCGCGGTGCGGGGGGTAGTTTGGTTGGGAAAGGGGGGGGGGGCCTTAAAGAGTCCAACGTCTGGTTCATCCTTCAGGACCGTTAACCTTTTATCAACGTGACGAGTTCACGCTTGCCTTTCTGGTGACGATTTGCCTGCACTTAGCGCAACGACCTTCTCTCTTTGTGTGTGCTGACACTGATAGGAAGATGATACGTCGTCCTTATAAGTGCTTCTCCACTCTGCTATCCTGGTGTTGTAGTGGTCCGCTTTTCAGGACATCCTTGCCTAAACTTGCAAAATTTTCTGGGTTGGGGGCTGGTGGTTCTTTGCGGGGCCGGCGTGTACAATAATGTAATAACACATTCTGCTCAGTTGAGAAAAAATAAAGTAGGCCCTGATCACGATACCATCTGTGTACTTTGGGGCCACACCACATACTTTCAAATTCACATACTACCGGGAAAAGTGGGGGGGGGGGGGTTGTCTCATGCCTTGTCACAAGAACTCATCCCGTTTGTATGGTGGGAGCACAGCCTGGATAAGTGAACGGTTCCCGTTGAAAGAGTTGTTCAGCTTAAACGACACGTCTCACATAAACCCTTATAATATCAGTTACGTTAATATCAATTTGCAGTTTGAGCACCCCTGAGCTATCCACAGGGACCTGGCTACACCAGAGGTTTAAAAGAGAAGAAATTTGTTGTTAAAACAAACACACAATAAAAAATTTTTTCCAAAAAAAGCGTCAGCAGCAACATAATGGGGTAAAATTTGTTTCTTTTGGGACTTTGGCTAAAGATTTGTTGGGCCAATTTAAACCCTTGAGAACAGAATCCCTTGTAGCTCGACCAAACTTAAAATGAGATTACAAATTGGTTTCACTTAAGTTAAACTGAAACATCTTAAATGTCTCAAATGCTGTTTAGAGGGGGGTGGGTCATTTTTTTTTTAAACTGGTGGATTGTCTGATTGATTACGTCCAATTCATCTGTCACACCAATCAACTGACATCGCTATCAGAGTTATATCACAAAGCATTATCATTTTTGTAACTTTCCCACTACTTGACCTAGATAAACACACACACACACACACACACGCACGCACACACACGCACGCACACACACACATCTGAGGTTCTAAAATTGAAGGAAACCTTAGCGAATAACGCAAAATAATTTGTTTCACCACTATTGCATCGTGCGCCATTTAGTTAAACAATGAAATGTCTGGTAATTAGAAATGTAATAGGTAAATATTGAAGTGCACACCATAGACGCCAAAGATCAGCGAACCCAAGTACTTTAGTACTAGTTCTATCAGTTGAGCGTGGCCAGATAACGTGTAATCTGGCGTGGACCCCAGTGTTTTATCTTACATCCGGGCCACACGGAGAAACTCCCACTCGCCCGTGACATAGTTAGCACGTGACCCCTCGTACCGGAAACACGTTGAGTGTAAGGACAGGGAGGCGTGCTATGGTAAAGTCACCAGTGCACACTGCAGTTGAAAAGCATTAAAAGCAATACAAAAACAAAATCTTCCCGAAAAAATATGATTTACCTCTCAATAATTTGGATCCCGCTGGTATTTCCTTTGATGTCTCGCCTCAATCAACCCGTTGTGCAACATCCCCACCCCCTCTCCCCCACCCCACCCCCAACTTTGTCTGATCATGGTGGATTTTAAGGAAAGGGAACGTATACCAAAAAATCAAACAAAATCGGGAATCGATCATATTGAAATGAAAACCGTTTTTGAGTCCGTTACAACGGACTGAATTGATCAACCATAACAAAAAAATATGAGATCTGTCGTTTGAACTGACCAATGAGATTTGATCTTTTTGATCCGTTTACAACGGACTGAATGAGATTTGATCTTTTACAACGATCATTTGACAGTGAGTTCCCCCACCTTGCAGTGTGTGCTTGCAATAAGCTCTGATGATGGCTATTCCTATGCAGACCATTGCAACCGACGTTAATTAATACTCCTCGTGTGGAACAAGACTTTACAAAACTGTTTCGTGTTGTTTTCTTTCTACTGGATATCAAGTCACCTTCGGAGGACTCTATTTCGACAGATTTCTTTTTTTACTATGTTATTGTTCGTCCGTCGAGGATCGACGAGGACCATCGAGTCGTCTGGTGACTGATGACTTGCGCGGGTGACTTTTGTTTAAAGTGAAGAAGAACTGCGCGGCATCTACCTCACTCTCTCGTCCGAGCCCACCATATCCAGTGGCAAGACTCTACGTCAAGACGACCAGGGATGGGTTCGGTTGCAGGAATTGTCATTGTTTGCGCCTTACGGGATTCCAACTCCGGGTTTGAATTCAGAGTTTCCTTCTCTTAGATGAGTTGCCGACCAAGGTTAACGAGTCTCATCCACCCGGGGTGATGTTTTTGCTTGACTGGCCTTTGGCTGGACTTGAACACCAGACCACCAACTTGAGGTTTGCTCAGTTTAGACAAGTTGGCCACCCAGTCACCCTTTTACTATACACCATTCTCCATTTGTCAGACTCAAATGTGTCCAGTCCTGTCACTCTTCGAACTTCAGTTCAAACACCCACCACAATGAACATGGTATTTTTTTTTCAATTGCAAATAAAATTGATATCATTTTGTTTTCTTATTATAAACAAACTGTTTTTCCGTTTCACATTTAGGCTTCTCAGAGGAAAAAATCCAGAAATACAAGGAACTCCAGTACTCGGTCACACTTAGCTTAGATGGTGAAACCTACAAAATTGTAATCGACTTCAAGGGAAAAGTGCCCAACGCTACATACGAACTGAAGCTCGGAGAAGAAGTCGACTACAAGTCTATCGATGGCTACACTGCCAAAGTAAGTGCGAGTACAAATTATTGGTGAGGGGGAAAAGAAATACTAAAAAATGTTTTAAAATATGAAAAACAAATCTTCCCACACTGGTAGAAGCTTGTTACACTCGAGATATACATGTAACTATCGTGTGATTAAACATAGAGTATGATTAGCATAAAATATGATCACATAAATAATGATACTATGGCCTTAAGTGTTCGGACTTACGTACGTAGACTCAACTGTTAAAATCGCTTTTTTTCCTCAGACCTTTCTAAATTTAAGGTAGATAACTGAATAAAAATAATTACCATAGATATCGCTACTTGGTTATCTGCCCATTACTAATCTATGCTCGTCTGTGATCAAAATAACCTTGATGATACGTTTAAATTTATAAAGTCATCTTCTATCATAATTTCCTAACAGACAACTCAATCACTTAACCCTCTATCCCTCTACATCTTACCCCCCCCACCCCAACAGTCAACCCAATCACTCAACCATTAATCTCTATACATCTCCCCCCAAAAGTCAACCCAATCACTCAACCATTAGTCTCTGTACATCTTTTCTCCCCAACATTCAACCCAATCACTCAACTGTTAAATTCTATACATCTTTTCTCCCCAACAGTCAACCCAATCACTCAACCATTAATCCCTGTACATCTTTTCTCCCCAACAGTCAACCCAATCACTCAACCATTAATCTCTATACATCTCCCCCCAAAAGTCAACCCAATCACTCAACCATTAGTCTCTGTACATCTTTTCTCCCCAACATTCAACCCAATCACTCAACTGTTAAATTCTATACATCTTTTCTCCCCAACAGTCAACCCAATCACTCAACCATTAATCTCTATACATCTCCCCCCAAAAGTCAACCCAATCACTCAACCATTAGTCTCTGTACATCTTTTCTCCCCAACATTCAACCCAATCACTCAACTGTTAAATTCTATACATCTTTTCTCCCCAACAGTCAACCCAATCCCTCAACCATTAATCTCTGTACATCTTTTCTCCCCAACAGTCAACCCAATCACTCAACCATTAATCTCTGTACATCTTTTCTCCCCAACAGTCAACCCAATCACTCAACCATTAATCTCTGTACATCTTTTCTCCCCAACATTCAACCCAATCACTCAACTGTTAAATTCTATACATCTTTTCTCCCCAACAGTCAACCCAATCCCTCAACCATTAATCTCTGTACATCTTTTCTCCCCAACAGTCAACCCAATCACTCAACCATTAATCTCTGTACATCTTCTCTCCTCAACAGTTGACCCTGTCAGTGGTCGATGGCAAATCAGTTGAGACATACGTCTACGCCGAGAAGTCCTTGACCTGGACAGTCACCAGGACCGTGGATGGTGACGTCATGACAGCAGTAAGTACAACGTCATTATGGTCAGCTTCAATTTATTTTTTTTTATTTTTTGGTGACCATGGTTTTTGCTTCCTTAAAAATCTGTTTAACTGAGCTCAATTATCGATTGCTCATTAAAAATTACCAAATTTTTGGCTAAAATAAAATGTCATGATGATTTATTAATTTTTTTAAAAAGAATGATTTTCCCGGACAAAGAATTATAAGAAATACCATTTTAAAAATAAGTTTACACTTACATAATTAGTGTACACATTACATTGAAATTGTTCATGACGACACGTCAACAAAACACTAAGGGGTGTGGGGTGAAACGTATGACATTTTGGCTCATGGGGTGTGTGAGGAGAAAATTGATATGTCATGACATCCCGCTTAGTGGTGACAGTCTAACCACTTTAATTGGTGCGTGATTTGACTCGTAACACGATTAAGCCAGTTGATATTTGACACAAGGTGGTGTCTAGTGGTTGGCGCTGGAGGTATTTGATGCTTGTGGGAGTATAATTTGAGGCGCGTATTTTTTGCCTAACTTGAGTGAATGCTGCTGTGGCAAAATCCTAAAATACCCAGCTTACAACTCACGGACACATAAGCACATAGATGAGTTGCCATAACCAGCTTACAACTCACGGACACATATCACATAGATGAGTTGCCATACCCAGCTTACAACTCATGGACACATATCACATAGATGAGTTGCGATACCCAGCTTACAACTCACGGACACATATCACATAGATGAGTTGCCATACCCAGCTTACAACTCACGGACACATATCACATAGATGAGTTGCGATACCCAGCTTACAACTCACGGACACATATCACATAGATGAGTTGCGATACCCAGCTTACAACTCACGGACACATATCACATAGATGAGTTGCCATACCCAGCTTACAACTCACGGACACATATCACATAGATGAGTTGCCATACCCAGCTTACAACTCACGGACACATATCAGATAGATGAGTTGCCATACCCAGCTTACAACTCACGGACACATATCACATAGATGAGTTGCCATACCCAGCTTACAACTCACGGACACATATCAGATAGATGAGTTGCCATACCCAGCTTACAACTCACGGACACATATCAGATAGATGAGTTGCCATACCCAGCTTACAACTCACGGACACATATCAGATAGATGAGTTGCCATACCCAGCTTACAACTCACGGACACATATCACATAGATGAGTTGCCATACCCAGCTTACAACTCACGGACACATATCAGATAGATGAGTTGCCATACCCAGCTTACAACTCACGGACACATATCAGATAGATGAGTTGCCATACCCAGCTTACAACTCACGGACACATATCAGATAGATGAGTTGCCATACCCAGCTTACAACTCACGGACACATATCAGATAGATGAGTTGCCATACCCAGCTTACAACTCACGGACACATATCAGATAGATGAGTTGCCATACCCAGCTTACAACTCACGGACACATATCAGATAGATGAGTTGCCATACCCAGCTTACAACTCACGGACACATATCAGATAGATGAGTTGCCATACCCAGCTTACAACTCACGGACACATATCACATAGATGAGTTGCCATACCCAGCTTACAACTCACGGACACATATCAGATAGATGAGTTGCCATACCCAGCTTACAACTCACGGACACATATCAGATAGATGAGTTGCCATACCCAGCTTACAACTCACGGACACATATCAGATAGATGAGTTGCCATACCCAGCTTACAACTCACGGACACATATCACATATGTAATGTGATGTATAGATGATAGACGACTGGGTCATTAAAAATGAGTCAAATCCAAGCTTGTGGATTGGAGTTAAATCTCCAGCAAAACCTTGGATAAGCCATAAACCCACCAGCAACCTGGGTGGATGGCAACTCACCAACCCTGGATGGCAACTCATCTAAGTGAAAGGGAAACTCTGAATTCAAGAAACCGGAGATGGAGTCCCGTAGGCGTTATGATATGGACACAATTAAAATTTCGAAAACTCCTTGAGCGGCGCTACTTGTGCCAGGCTGGAAAAATCTACACATAATGTTCCCCTGGGTTAACCAGGTGGGTGGACAGGGGAGACTTGATGTCCCAGGAGCCAGCTTACCCTCTTGACGAAAAAATCTCAGGCCTTTTGATTTCATCGTTCGATTTCTACACCATTGGCCAAATTGCTGCCACGGGATGTTTGTTCCTTTAGTAGCCACCCGACCACTTTTTAGCTTTTAGGATGAGCACGGTTTATAGTATCTTATTGTGAGATATCCTCAGCTTGATATAATCTAACATATGCACACTTTCCTCTCTAACCAGGTGACCAAACTAGGCGACGCTGAGCTCACACAAATCCTCAACAGAGTCTAAGCCCAGAACAAAATAAGAAATAAATACTTAGCATTGTTGCTGTTTTAAAAATAATATATATTTATGGTTTATTATGTTTTATATCATAAAAGTCAACAACAACAACAACAAATATTAAAAAAACAAAAACCACAACAGTATTAGCCACACAGCGGCACGGTCTCGGAAAAAAAAATCAAAATCATAACAGCGTAACGAAAAATTAAAATTATAGAAATGTAAAAATCTTTTAGGCGAGGTTATTTTCAATTATGAATAAATAACTTTTGTCTAAATTACCAATACTAGGATGACATATGTATCTTTATAAGCGTTGCGCATTGTTGTATTTAATAAAAAAATATATATAATTGAAAATGTCTCTTTTATGGTTGTCAATTTTATTTTCTCCGTGTGTTTTCTGGGTGAGAATTGTTCTTTTTTTTTTTTTTTTTTTATTTTATTTTTTTTTTTTTTTTTTTTATTTTTTTGTTAATATATAATTGAAAATGTCTCTCTTATGGTTGTCAATTTTATTTTCTCCGTGTGTTTTCTGGGTGAGAATTGTTCTTTTTTTTTTTTTTTTTTTTTAATTTAATTTTCATTTATTTTTTTTTAAATCGTTGGTTAAAATAATTATAGAGATACTAACTATGTAGTTACAGAGATCACGGCACAGAGCTGACCTTAAAAAGGTATCTAGATTAGAACCGTCGATTTCATGCACAGATCAGTGAATCGGTCAGCCATTTAACAACGATGTCCTTAGTTCACGGTGTTCAGCTGACTACGTCTGCATGAAATAACAGACATCCCATCAGATGTAACTACATCATGGGAGACATTTTGTCGGATGGGAGATATTTTTTCTGATGGGAGACATTTTGTCTGATGGGAGACATTTGGTCTGATGGGAGACATTTTGTCTGATGGGAGACATTTGGTCTGATGGCAGACATTTTGTCTGATGGCAGACATTTTGTCTGATGGGAGACATTTTGTCTGATGGGAGACATTTTGTCTGATGGGAGACATTTTGTCTGATGGGAGACATTTGGTTTGGTGGGAGACATATTGTCTGATGGGAGACATTTTGTCTGATGGGAGAAATTTTGTCTGATGGGAGACATTTGGTCTGATGGGAGACATTTGGTCTGATGGGGGACATTTTGTCTGATGGGAGACATCTGATGGGAGACATTTTGTCTGATGGGAGACATTTTGTTCAGAGGCGGTCGAGCTATCCTCGTGTTCTATTCATAGGGGTACAAACAAAAACAAATTAGCACTTTAAAAAAAAGCCTTATAAGCACTGCGTTAGTGCTTACAAGTACTGTGTTAGGTACATCACTTATTTATAAGCTCTGTGTTGAGTGCATCACTTCTAAGTACTGTGTTACGTACATAACTTATTTATAAGCTCTGTGTTGAGTGCATCACTTCCAAGTACTGTGTTACGTACATCACTTATTTATAGGCTCTGTGTTGAGTGCATCACTTCTAAGTACTGTGTTACGTACATCACTTATTTATAGGCTCTGTGTTGAGTGCATCACTTCTAAGTACTGTGTTACGTACATCACTTATTTATAGGCTCTGTGTTGAGTGCATCACTTCTAAGTACTGTGTTACGTACATCACTTATTTATAGGCTCTGTGTTGAGTGCATCACTTCTAAGTACTGTGTTACGTACATCACTTATTTATAGGCTCTGTGTTGAGTGCATCACTTCTAAGTACTGTGTTACGTACATCACTTATTTATAGGCTCTGTGTTGAGTGCATCACNGGGGAACATCAATTTTTTGAAAAAAAAAAAAAAAAAAAAAAAAAAAAAAAACCTAACAAATTATATATTGAATCCCAGTTTTGTGAGACATACCTTTAAACTTGTCATCGCAATAGTTTTCACTGATTAATTTGACCGTGGATTATGTGAAGGTGCGTATTTTTAAATCATGTGCTGAAAACAGTCAACTGCAAAGGTCAGTATTACACTAATGAGTTCAATTTCAAAATCTCATTGGTCCTTGCATCATCTTCCCCCACCCTAAGCTAACCAACTCCCCACAAAAGTGTCAATATGTAATGTGACGTGATTCCTGAATGAAACGGATTCTCAAATTGCAAAAATCAGGGTTAAAACTACTGGCTCAAAATTGTGTCGTTTACTTTAATTTACCATAGGAATGTTTTTAAAAAAATTGTTTTTTAATGTTTCATAAAGCCATAAATTCTCATAGTAATGATATAAACTTTTCAACGTTATATCATTATATGTCCAAGTCATACTTTAGCGACGTCACGCGTCATGTGACAGTGTGATCTCGTCACCGCCACCTCGCGAGGCTGTGGAGAGTGGCCCTGTACCTGGAGCTCATTCTGAAGTAGAAGAAGATGTGGACAGACGAGTTGAACGCCTCGAAGTCGAACCGTATGGTGTAGATCACGACGTACAGGTAATTGTTGAGCCCGCCGATGGTCATCCCCGGGAGGGCCAACGTGGCCATGCTGGGGACGTGCGTGCAAAACAAACTTACCAGGTAGACGGAGGTGATGGCCAGCACCATTCGGACGGTGTCCACGCTCTTCGCCGATCTTTTACCGCGACCCTTTGCCGCCGAGCTTGATCCGGAAGCCGCATTCACGCCCGCGACCCGGTCTCGCCATTTCACGGAAGCCTTTAGGCGTGTTACCGTGGCGACTGTTGACACGGTAACTATGAACATGGCGACCGTTGTCATAACGAAAGAATGAAAGACGCCGTTCACTAGGGTGAAGATGTAGCCGAGCGGGGTGAGCACGTTCAACGCTTTTAAAGTTGCGTTATTGTTAGGGTCCTGGATCCACACAAGGGATACGTTCGCCGCCAGTGGAAGGTATGCGATGACAACGACGAGGTAAATAATCACGATGGCGGCCACGGTGATTTTAACCGTGAAGATTCGCTTCACCCTCAAAGGGAAAACCACGCCCACAGCGCGCTCCACGGACAGATAGACGGTTATCCAACACGTGACCTTGCTGAGTATCCCATGAGTGTAGGACGCCGGCATGGTGGTCAGCGTCGAGCAGTTGTCGATGAACGGGTTCCCCGTGCCGGCGGCGTAGTTCTCCAGGTAGTGGCAGGCCGGCTTAGGTGCAAGGGTGACGCAGCTGAGCAGGTCGGTCAGCGACAGCGAGAAGAAGGCGACGGTCGCGCTGTCCGAGGTCACCCCCTGCCGGTAAAATACCCGGACGTTGATGACGTTGCCGACGATGCCGGCGAAGGTGAAGAGCACGAGCGGGACGTTGAGGATCTGGAGAGAAATGTGGTAGGCGTCTTCACTCATCAGCGGCGTTGGCGTGGGTGGTGCTGTAGGCTCCCAGTCACCACTGTGGGCGGCAATCATGCTAATGTGGCTTCTGAGACGGTAGATATTGGAACAACAGTTAATTTATTCAAGGATGTTATTTTTATATACTGACTCCATGTGTTTTGAATTCTAAAACGAATTTAGATACACAATGTTTGTATGTGTGTATATATATATATATATATAAAATGACAGTCATACAGACGGTATGAATATTGTATAGTTAAAAGAAAATCGAGCATATTAACATAGCTTACACACTTTTCTTTAAGATATAGAGTAGATTCTGATAAAGCAAGTTACACCTGTCGATTTCAAATAATGCTGCAGCCTTTGTGTTTGTACGTTGGCTAGTTACGTTCAACACCACCAGAAATCAGAATACACCCAAATGCCACGGACATACAAAAGGAGAATTCAACAATATATATTTATGTTGGTATTTAAAATTTAAAAAAAAAACAAACAAAAAAAAAAATTCAAAAAAAGGATTTAAAAAAATGAAATAAATATGCACTTTGTATGAAATAAATAAATATATCTATTTATTAATTTCAAATAATGCTGCAGCCTTTGTGTTTGTACGTTGGCTAGTTACGTTCAACACAACCAAAAATCAGAATACACCCAAATGCCACGGAAATAAAAAAGGAGAATTCAACAATATATATTTATGTTGGTATTTAAAATTTAAAAAAAAAACAAACAAAAAAAAAAAACTCAAAAGAAGGATTTAAAAAAATGAAATAAATATGCACTTTGTATGAAATAAATAAATATATCTATTTATTTGGATCAAAAAAATATCTTATCTTATCCTATTTTATCTTGTCTTATTTTATTATATACAATAACAAATAGCTTTGCGTGAAAATTTTAGGGCTCTCCCACGCTTGCATTCTGAAGTCATTTTTGATAAAGTCATTCTCGAGTCATGTAAAGTAATTCGGGGGAGGAAGGGGGGTCACGTTTAATAAAGTCATTCTGGTGTCATGTTTAATAAAGTCAATCTGGGGTCATGTTTAAAAGAGTCATTCTGAAGTCATGTTTAATAAAGTCATTCTGAAGTCATGTTTAATAACATCATTCTTGAGTCATGTTTAAAAAAGTCATTCTGAAGTCATGTTGAAAAAAGTAACTCCGAAGTCATCTTTAATAACGTCATTCTTGAGTCATGTTTAAAAAAAGTCATTCTGAAGTCATTTTCCTCCCGGACCGCCACCCTGATGACATCACCTGACGGACCAGTGACGTCGGATCCGGGTTGGATGACGTATCTGTTGGGCAAAGCAGGTCCCTACCGTTAAAAATGAAACCATACAATCACCAAGGGAATGGATTCGGGTGATAAAATGGCCACGGAAACCTCGATAACCCAATGAATTTATCTGGTGACAGGTGACGCCTCGGCTGTGTTGTTGTTTTTTGCTGCAGAGAAGAAAGCTGTTGGGGAAGTTTAGAAAAAAATAAATAAATATACTTACTTGGATTAAACGATTTGTTATTTGCTGAATTGCATCAGTGAACACAAATTTGAGTTCAGAAGATTAGATCTCTATAAGATACACGACGTCACTGTCTTTTAGATATGATTTACTTATTTGTGTTTCGAGTTAATGTCCGTACATTGCCGCAGCGCTACAAGTACACTGAGAACTTTATCAATTGCTCAACAATTACTGTTAGCATAAAAGAGTTGGAGCGGTCGTTTTTGGGACAATATAGTAGCGCAAATTATATGCGCGCCCTTTAAAGTAGTGGACGTGGTTTCTAGACATTACCATAGGGGGCGCTGTGAATCCATAAGTGTTTTGTTATTTGCAAGAAAGAACGTGGGGTGGGGGGGGGGAAATAGTAGGTAATAATGTCAAATCTCAATTTTCAAAACTCGTTTTTTTTTCATGTTGAAATAAATAATCGACATGAACATTATTACACGTTGCAACTTGACTGGGTAATCGATATTATGTATCGTAATTACACATAGATCGATACGGTGTTAGTTAAATCAGAATCGAAATCATTGTGAGTTTCTTTTATAAATTGCTGGACACAATTGCGCCGCCATTAGAGCACACAGTTTAAGGCTGGGAGAAATAATGGCCTAACAGATTTAAAAAAAACGGTTATTTAAAACACCTCCCATGTCGCTTTGCGTCTCCTACTGTATAATTTGAGAATCGAAGAGCTGTGAAATTCGCTTCGTTAACCAGCGCAAATGCACATTATATTTTAAGTGCCCTAAATTCAAATTATGACAGAAATATAAGTTGATCACTTTGCCGTGTTCTCAATAACTTTCCTGCTTTTCATGATGACAGCTAATAGCTAGGTTCCAGTTATTGGCGATGATAGATTATGCGTAGTTTCTAGTTATGCCTGATGACAGATTATTACAGTAATCATTACAGTGGTCTTATAGTAACCTAGGGCTAGGCCTCTCCGCGCTTCACCTACATGTAGATTCTAGTTATTGGTGATGACAGATTATAGCTAAATTATATAAATTGGCAATGACAGACAATTGGTGGGTTCTAGCTATCGGTGATGACAGACAAGAGGTATGCTCTAGTTATAGGAGGGTTCTAGTTATCGGTGAAGACCGATTAAAGATAGGTTCTAGCTATTGGTGATGCTAGATTATAGGTAGGTTCTAGTTATTGGTGATAAAAGATTAAAGGTAGGTTCTAGTTATTTGTAATGCAAGATTAAAGGTAGGTTCTAGCTATTGGTGATGACAGACAAAAGGTAGTTCTAGTTATTTGTATGAAAGATTATAGTTAGGTTCTAGATATTGGTGATGACAGATTATAGGTAGGTTCTATTTATTGATGATGACAGATTGTAGGTGGGTTCTAGTTATTGGTGATGACAGATTATAGGTGGCTCTAGTTATTGGTGATGACAGATTATAGGTTGGATCTAGTTATTGGTGATGAGAGATCATAGGTAGGTTCTAGTTATTGGTGATGACTGACAAAAGGTAGGTTCTATTTATTGTTGATGACAGATTACAGGTAGGTTCTAGTTATTGGTGATGACAGACAATAGGTAGGCTCTAGTTTTTGTTGATGACAGCTTATAGGTAGGTTCTAGTTATCGGTGATGACAGAGTATAGGTAGGTTCTAGTTATTGGTGATGACAGATTATAACTAGGCTCTAGTTATCGGTTAGGACAGAAAATAGGTAGGTTCGAGTTGTTGGTAATGACAGATTATAGGTATGTTCTAGTTTTTTAGTGATGATATATTGTAGGTAGTCTGTAGTTACTGACGATTTCAGATTATAGGTAGGTTCTAGTTATCGGTGATTACAGATTATAGGTAGGTTCTAGTTATCGGTGATGCCAGATTATAGGTAGGTTCTAGTTATCGGTGATTACAGATTATAGGTAGGTTCTAGTTATCGGTGATTACAGATTACATGTAGGCTCTAGTTATCGGTGATTACAGATTATAGGTAGGTTCTAGTTATCGGTGATTACAGATTATAGGTAGGCTCGAATTATTGGTGATGACAGATTAAAGTTAGGATCTTTTTATTGGTGATGATAGTTTATAGGTAGGTTTTAGTTATTGGTTATAAGAGATTATAGGTATGTTCTAGTTATCGGTGATGACAGATTATATTTAGCTTTTAGTTATTGGTGATGACTGACAAAAGATATGTTCCAGTTATTGGTGATGACAGATTATAGGTAGGTTCTAGTTAGTGGTGAAGACAGATCAAAGGTAGGCTGTAGTTTTTGGTGATGACAGATTATATGTAGGTTCTAGTTATTGGTGATGACAGTTTATAGGTAGATTCTAGTTATCGGTGATGACAGATTATTGGTAGGTTCTAGATCTCTGTGATTACAGATTATAGATAGATTCTAGTTATTGGTGATGACAGGCAATAGGTAGGTTCTAGTTATTTTTATGACAGATTATAGGTATGTTCTTGTTTTGGGTATTGACAGATTAAAGGTAGGCTCTAGTTATTGGTGATGAGAGATTATAGGTGGGTTCTAGTTATTGGTGATGACAGATACAAGGAGGGTTCTAGTTATCGGTGAAGACCGATTAAAGGTAGGTTCTAGTTATTTGTGATGCCAGATTATAGGTAGGTTCTAGCTATTCGTGATGACAGACAAAAGGTAGTTCTAGTTATTTGTATGACAGATTATAGTTAGGTTCTAGATATTGGTGATGACAGATTATAGGTAGGTTCTAGTTAGTGGTGATGACAGATTTTAGGTGGGTTCTAAAAATTGGTGATGACAGATTATAGTTAGGTTCTATATATTGATGATGACAGATTATAGGTAGGTTCTAGTTATTGGTGATGACAGATAATAGGTAGTTTCTAGTTTTTGGTAATGATAGATTATAGGTAGGTTCTAGTTATTGGTGATGATAGATTGTAGGTGGGTTCTAGTTATTGGTGATGACAGATTATAGGTGGCTCTAGTTATTGGTGATGACAGATTATATGTTGGCTTTAGTTATTGGTGATGACAGATTATAGGTAGGTTCTAGTTATTGGTGATGACTGACAAAAGCTAGGTTCTATTTATTGTTGATGACAGATTACATGTAGGCTCTAATTTTTGGTGATGACAGCTTATAGGTAGGTTCTAGTTATCGGTGATGACAGAGTATAGATAGATTCTAGTTATTGGTGATGACAGGCAATAGGTAGGTTCTAGTTATTTTTATGACAGATTATAGGTATGTTCTTGTTTTGGGTATTGACAGATTAAAGGTAGGCTCTAGTTATTGGTGATGAGAGATTATAGGTGGGTTCTAGTTATTGGTGATGACAGATACAAGGAGGGTTCTAGTTATCGGTGAAGACCGATTAAAGGTAGGTTCTAGTTATTTGTGATGCCAGATTATAGGTAGGTTCTAGCTATTCGTGATGACAGACAAAAGGT